AAGGAGGAGCGTAAAGTTTTTCTGGCATAGGAAAGCGGCGAAGAATGGGGTTCGAAGAGCGATTCAACTTTTGCCGTTTCAAAGGAGTCCGCGGTGTGTGGTAAGTGGTTTGGGGTGGAATGTAGTATAAGGACGCGGGGAGAGAAGTACTACAGGAACGACGTGGTCCGGAACGTGGGAGAGATGGTGAGTTCGACGTCTGGGCAGCAAGGGGCTATGGAGTGTAGAGTGCAGAAGGTATAAGCATAGATTGAGGTAATGAAGAATGTTTAAGGGGTGGGCAGCCGTGCGAGGTCCCCGGCGGAGGCATTCAGCCGACAGGCGCAAGCCAACGGCTAGTGGTGACCTATTGTTGTGCCACCATTGCGAGGTGCACTCGGCATGCACCATCATAGCCACACACCTGCTTTCCATCCCTTGGATCTGCCGATCCTTGCAAAATTCCATTTCCGTGCCTTCCGACGCCATTACTTTTTCGTTTGGCTTTGTCAATTAGAGAGTGCGTACTTTCACGTTCGGTGTAGGAGTATGCATTCTTGTATAAATCACATTGTGCTGTAATCCGACTTGTATCCTGCGAGCTATGGGAACGAATTCGTACAACCGTATGCGTAATAATCACTGCCTAAGCCCGAATGGAGAGCTCCTAAAATTTATCATTATGCCGTTCTCTGAAAATTAGACAATCAATTATGTGACGCGTTGGCAAAGACGCCACTTTCTGGTCTGACGATGAAGCGCTTGCATGCGATTTCTCTCTAATACTGCCATATTTGTAAAAACGATATCAGAATGGCATCCTTGGAACTTGTTAAAAGGGCTATAGCTGGAGGCAGAGTCTACGATGACCTGCCCCCCAGGATAAAGAACCTCATTACTCCCAGCGAATGGAAGACAAGGTGTGCAAGCATCTGTTTTCGGGCAACCGATACAGCAAGTCAGACTTCAGTACTAACCGTGTAACCCCTTCAGCGGCCTCTCCCATCCACTTCACGCAGCTGTAGTTGCCTAGCAACTCTACACTCATCCATTGCAGTCTCTCGATACTGCAATTCCAAATGGCCTCCCATTCATAATTGCGCACTCCCACGCTGTGCAGAGTCAAGGAGCACTGCATCCAGCGCGGTCTTCCATGGGCAACAAGCCTCGCGTGCACCGTAATGGGCCAGCAGGAGTATTGTGATGAGCTGCTTCGTTGCTACAAAACGTGGATGCGGGTATGCTGCTGCGCCCTAGGGGCCAACCTAGGGGCCGAGCGGGGGGCCGGTAGTTGGCTGGGCACTGGGGAACTAAAGAAAACCCAAAGCGCAACCAGGTCAGACAGCTGGTGGATGAAGGGAGAAAGAACACTGAATCTAAACCGTTAAAGGACTGTATTATTCCCTTTTTTCAAATCCCAGTCTTTAAAATTCCCAGCTTTATAAAACGCTGATAAAAACTTGTCA